AGAGAGAGAGAGAGAGAGGGAGAGGGAGGGAGGGAGAGAAAGAAATAAAAATATTAAGATTTTTTTTTACATTTATTACTAATATAATTATAACTAATTATGTTTATATATTAATATTAATATTATAAAATATTAATAGTAATAGTGCTACATTACTAATATAATTTATTATTATGATTATTATTATTATTTAGTAATACACCCAGGTACAATGTTCAATGCTTTTTAAACATTATTGAAATGTATTTTGCACACTTGTTGGCTGTCCTTGACTATCTAGTCAAATTTAAACATAAAAAAAAAAAAAATGATTACATTATTCTTTCTTTTGTAAAGAAATTCAAATGTATGCCCAATTGAACTATCATAACTATCAAACTATCAAAACAAGCAATGAAACTTATAAGTGGCAGTATACTGAAATATAACGCTAAAAAATTCAAAACATAGCAATCAAAAAGCAATAGAAAATTGAAAAAAAAAAAAAAAGTCTCCATTTAAAGCCTGCAGACCTGATCCATGGCATTAGACAAAAAACATTCATTATTCATAAGGAGAAATTGTTTAAGCGCAGCTGAGAAGGTAGCAAGAGGCAGCGTCTCTCCAGTGTCAAATGCTCCCATTAATAGAAAAAAGACCTCCATGTCTGCTGGTATTTACGGAGGTTTGGAGCGAAGGCATTAGTGCTCAAAGCCCCTGTGCCACGATTAACAATCTCTCTCACTGTAAGATGCCCATGTTATCCTTCAGACGTTGTAGTTACGAGGGGAAAAGCTCTTTTTTGTCACCAAATCCTTAATTCTTTCTTCTCTGGAAAAAAAGAGGCTAATACTGAGAATGTTTCTCAATCTGCTTTGAGAGAGCATGGGGAGAGAAAAGGAAATCCCCAATAAAACATGTGTGAACGAAAGGGTAATTGTGGACAAATGCAGCATTGAAATTCATTTTCAACTCTTTACACACCATTTCAATCTTATTTTATGCTTGTTAGCCACATCTTGTTGGTGAGGGTCGGCAAGACTGCCCAGTATTGATGAATAATTGTGTATAATTCACTCCTTACATGCGATTTGCATCAATACGCATTATTTTTTAATGCTGGGTATTCAAGACAGCACCATTTCTGGAGAAAGTCACCCTAAATGCTCATTAATGGGGACCAAAGAGGCTAATTTTTGCAAAAACTCAACCACAGCAACACAAACCCAGACATGACACACAACAAGAGATTCAAACACTATAAGAAATTAGTGCAAAAACAAAGCAATTCCTGTCAAATAGCACCTACTCACTCTCATGTACCCAAATATATATTGTGCTATACTCTGACCAAAGCAACATAAATGTAACTTTTCTTGCTAATTATCTGATTTTGTTCTGAATTACGTCACATTAAAGTAAAAGCCATTTCATGCTGACAATTTCTGATATAAAAACAGCAAAGGTTTGGGAATAATTCTAATAATGTTTTCAGACTAGGAAAAACTAAGCAAACGAAGAAAAAAAAAACACTTTCGTTTCTCCATATCAGTGCAAAAATGATCTGTTTCCACACAAGCAGCGGATGCTAGCTTAACTCGACAACGTTCTTGATCTCTGAACCATGCTGGCGTTCATTCAGCGTGCCTTTCATCATTCTCACATTGGAAAGAGGCCTCTGCACTAACCTGCGGCGAAAGGCCGTTGCTCACGGGATTCATGTGGTTGCTTGAAGCTGATGGGCTCATAAAAGTTTCTGAATAGCTGGAGAAGGTGTGGAAAGCCCCTGTGCCACGATTAACAATCTCTCTCACTGTAAGATGCCCATGTTATCCTTCAGACGTTGTAGTTACGAGGGGAAAAGCTCTTTTTTGTCACCAAATCCTTAATTCTTTCTTCTCTGGAAAAAAAGAGGCTAATACTGAGAATGTTTCTCAATCTGCTTTGAGAGAGCATGGGGAGAGAAAAGGAAATCCCCAATAAAACATGTGTGAACGAAAGGGTAATTGTGGACAAATGCAGCATTGAAATTCATTTTCAACTCTTTACACACCATTTCAATCTTATTTTATGCTTGTTAGCCACATCTTGTTGGTGAGGGTCGGCAAGACTGCCCAGTATTGATGGATAATTGTGTATAATTCACTCCTTACATGCGATTTGCATCAATACGCATTGTTTTTTAATGGTGGGCATTTAAGACAGAAGCATTTCTGGAGAAAGTCAACCTAAATGCTCATTAATGGGGATAACTGGGAAAATTAGACAAAAACACAACCACAACACAACACAAATCCAGACAGGACACGCAACAAGAAATAAACACAGAAACATAGCAATTCCTGTCAAATGACACCTACTCACTCTCATGTACACACATAAATATTCACTGACAAAATTGTCCAAAGCAACATAAATTTCACCCCCCAAAAATCTATATATAGATTTAAATGTATACACAGTCTATTTAATCTTAAAGTCAACATGGACATGACAGTATTTACTTTATTGTTCTGAAAAATGCCATCCAATAGCTAAATAGATATTCAGACGATCCATCAATTCCAAAAGACAAAATCAAGTTCCATATTACCACCCTTTTCTTCCTTATTATCTGCTTTTACTCTGAAATACATCACATTATGAAAGTAAAGTGAAAGCCATTTCATTCTTATGGTTTCTGATATAAAATCTGCAAAGGTTTGGGAATGATTACAATGTTTTCGAGCTATGAAAAATAAGAAGAAAAGCCCACTTTAATTTCTCCATAATTTCTGTTTCCACACAAGCAGCGGATGCTAGCTTAACTCGACAATGCTCTTGATCTGTGAACCATGCTGGCGTTCATTCAGCGTTCTCACATTAGAAAGAGGCCTCTGCACTAACCTGTGGCGAAAGGCCGTTGCTCACGGGATTCATGTGGTTGCTTGTAGCTGACGGGCTCATAAAAGTGTCTGAATAGCTGGAGAAGGTGTGGCGGTTGGATGAGAGGCCGTAGGCGGAGCTACTGTCAGCCGAGAGTCCGCCCTGGTGCATGGAGGAAGGCGGCAGAGGCTGCGGCCGGTGCAATGTACTGCTGCCATCTGAAATACAAACAGAGACGGTGATACCTATTTGCATCAGTCTATCATCAAGTATCAAAATGGTAGTAGAGGAACACTTTAGATTAGGGAGCACATATAACACTTTACTTAAAGCCTTTATATATAATGCATTATAAAAGTAGTTTTAATGCATTAATTATGCCTTGCAATGCACATTATAATAAATTGTACAATCTCATGAATCATTGTAACCACAGTTATACATTATAACACTTATTAATTAATTGTTACACTAAACATGTTAAATTCAGTCATAATTATTTACAACACGATATAATGTATTACAACACATTATGAATAATTATAATGCATTATACCCTTTAATAACACTTTATAATGCATTATACATAAAGGCTTTAAGTAAATTGTTACCAGAGTTTTCCCTCAACAAACTCTGAATTTGCTATTTATTGATAGTAAGGTAGGTAGTTGTTGTTTTAGTAGAATATGGTCATACATTAATATTTGCTTTATACGTACTATTAAACAGCTAATATGCTCGTAGTATGCATGCTAATAAGCAACTAGTTAATAGTGAATAGTGTTCCCTAATCTAATGTGTTACTGATACTGGGATATTTTTGGATCTGGTACTGTGGCAACACCATATTATTTTGGATATGCACCGTGATGTTGCAAAGAATGTGGTTAATATTTATGATCATCTTGATCATACCATTGTACCACTACAGCAGTATTGCATTTTTTAAGCACTTTTAATTTGTTATAATAATAATAATAATTATTATTATTATTATTATTATTTTTATTTATTTATTGCAGAGTTATACACTGTCATTCAAAAAATGTAAGATGATCAGATTGTATTTAAACTTTTTGAAAGAAGTCTATTCTGTTTACTAAGGCTGCATTTATTTGATCAAAAATACAGTAAAACAGTAATATTGTGAAAAAAAAAACCTACAATTTGAAACCGTTGTTTTCTCAATATGTAATTTATATTATATTATATTATTCCTGTGATGGAAAAGTTGAATTTTCAGCATCATTACTCCAGTTTTCAGTGTCAGGTGATCCTTCAGAAATTATTATAATATGCTGATTTGATGCTTAAGAAACATTTATTATGAACAATGTTCAAAACTGTTGTGCTGCTTAATATTTTTTTTGTGGAAACCATGATACAATTTTTTCAGGATACTCTGATGAATAGAAAGTTCAGAGGAACAGTGTATATTTGAAATCGAATTCATTGCAAATGTCTTTACTGTCACTTTGATCAATTTAATGCATCCTTGCTAAAAGAAAAAAAAAACCTTTGGAATGGTAGTGTTCATCTATAGAGGTGCATGGGTTACTGTACTCTACCTTGCGAGAGAGTGGTGCTGGGATACGCTGACTCTGGAAGCTGATAGGTGGGTAAGGTTGGCATGCCAGTTGGTGGAAACCCTCCAGGCAACAAGTGGTTGAATGCTGCCAGATGATTTGCTCCTGCTTGTTTGCGCCACCTTGCTCTTCGGTTGCTAAACCAGACCTAATAAAAGATGGAAATAAAATATTATTTTATTTTATATTATATTTAATTTAATTTTATTATTTAAAGGGAGACTGACAATTGTGCAGAGGCAAATATCCCTTTCTAAGCATGATTTCATTCACATAACATGCAGTTGAAAGCGATCAGCAGTCTTCCAGACAGGTTCATGGGCATGTGTGTGGCAGAGAGAGTGTCCTCATGGGAAACTGCCTCTTAGCACATGTTGAGGTCCCTGTTGTTCTAGTTAAGTGGCTAAATCTGTGATCTGTATAAACAGGCCGCTCTGGGCTGCCATCAGAGACGAGAAGTCGTAAACAGGTCAGAGGTAGCCCACACATCTCCACAGACATCTCCTCCACATCTTGAGTATGTTTATCTACCTGTCGGACACTTTAAAGAGAGTCTAGAGCACTTTTACTGGAGCGGTGTTTTCTGATACACATGGACACGTACACGTACACACAGAGACATCTGTCACATCTTTAACATGCTGCTTCATATCAAGCTACAATACTTGAATGAACTGTTTGGCTTCACTAAAATAATATAGATAAAATAAATGAAAAATAATTTGATTATGAGGATTTTACTTTATAGACAAAAAATACTTAACTTCCTTTTGGGCATGGTTCAGTTTGACCCACATTTAAACTACTTGAAATTAGTTGAAGTATTTGATTGTTCTTGAAATTTGTGTTTTGAAAAAAAAAAAACCTATATAAAATTGGATATGCAATATATTTATTCACATACATACAACATACTCATTTAAAACAATAAAATACTTTTTTTGTTTTAGTCGGACCAAAATAAACGCCCATTCAAACCAGACTGACTTCAGACAGTCGTCTCAAAACGAGGACAACTTGCACATTTTAAACGGAGGCTTCTCTTCCATCAAAACATGAATAAAATTAGCGTCTCTGAAAGCAGCCCGCTCTATTTCACAGGAACAAGACCGGAGCCCTGCGTATGTGAAAGGTTGGAGGACATTGATCTATGCCATGCACTGGCAATTCATCCGCGTTTAATACACTGTCAGGGCAGTTCATCTACCGTTGTGTTTAAAACGGGCCGGTCCATTGTGTGTCCAGATGAAAGGTGGAGACAAAGGCCTCTCAATACACCAGGCTGAAAAGAGTCCACAAAGAGTGGGCGTCCCTTTTTAAACGTGCTTTTAAGAGCTCCACTTTCATGGTATGCACACAAGGACACACTCTATTCTGATGCAACCACACTGTAGACACAATCTACAAAACACACACACACACTCGCTGGCTCTTTCTTACAAAGCGTTGCTTACATTGTCCATGTGCAAAACTGTCAGGCCACTAACAGCTAGCATCTCATTCAGATGACTTCAATGGCTCGCCAGCGTTTGATGCGACTAAAGATGACTCTTACCCATCTGTCATGCGTCGGGTTCGAATCGCTCTTTCTTACGCTCTCGGAAAGTGAAACCCCCACCCGACCGTCAACCTCTCAAAGGGTTTAGGAGGAGACGCTTCGCCCCTGTCCTGAGCCTAAACCTGGTCTCGTAGACAGATAAAGGATGGCCTGGCGTCCTGAAGGAGCTCGGGGAAATGCATGTGCTGGGATTCGAACGGATCTTCTACTGGGACTCGCGCAAACAGGTTATGAAGAATGGAAGAACGTTGTGTCCTTCCCCCACAAACCAAAAAGTGTCCCGCTCCGCTGTGCCTCCTGACCTTTGACCTCTGAACCCTGCTCTCCACCCCTTCATGCTTTCATCCTGATGGCCTCTACCTTCTTTCTTCTGCTGCAAAGTGCAGATACGTACTTCTGTGACATCAGCGAGGAACATTTAATAGTTCTGGCATTTCATTCAAGACTACAGGCAAAACTTTACAGTTTTATTCCTATCAATATTCTCAGGGTTTTTACTAAAGGGTGTGTTCATATAATATTCACCTGGTTTTTGTTTTTCTTAAAAATGTCATGTTTTTTTTTCTGTCTGTTGACAGTGTTTTGTAATTTATGGCATGATAAAAAGAGAGTATCACCATAGTTTCCCTAGTTTATTAATCATAGTACATTAATACAACAAAAAATATGCAAATAATGCATTATCTAACTAAATATGCACTCATTGCATAAATTTCCACAACAGAAACCTGAACATTTGAAAAAGTCAGGGTGAAAATTCTTGTTGACATAGTATAGCTTAGTTTGAGAATTCTGGATATCTCTTTTTATTACTCCATGTTTTTTTTTAGGAATAAAATGTCATTGAATGATATATGAACAAACACCTCTGTAAAATCCTTCTGAATATAGATATAAATAAAGCTTGGTGTATGTAAGTGCTGCTAAAGTTTAAATTTCAAAACTCAAAGAAATGGCCTTTAAAAATATGTATTGTAAATGAAATCTATAGACACAAACCGATAAAGTGTAATAAAATAAACACTTAAAAGTGTATTTTAGATCGTTTCTTTCCACTTGTCTGAAAGAAGACGTGTTATAGAAGCAAAATAGTCTAAAATGTCTAAATTAACCAGTGAATGAAAAACAATCGTTTTGTCTGTAGTGTCTTGCCTTAAGAAATTTCTTTCTTAGGATTTTTGTGAAATCTTTAAGCCCAAGTTCATTTACACCCGTCACTTGTGTTTGCGATTTTTCTACAGAAAGCAAACTATTATCGCTTTAAATGGCTTGTTTCTTCTCTGGCTTTTTGTTTAATCTCTCATCCTCACACATAAACTAATCTCTGCACATGCATTACCACACAATCTGTAAGATGCATAATGCTATGACAATTCATAAAGAGATTTGGGATACATTATTCTCAGAGAGCTGCCTGCATCCCTGTGGTCAGAGCACTTACGACGCAGCCAGCAGATCTTGTGGCTTTACCATGTGCTCGGCGAAGACTCCTGTCTGCCTTAATCACACCAGCAGCCTGTGAAGCATATCTGTCTAAGTGAATTTGCTGCTTTTGAAAGTAACGTGGCGTCACAGAGGTGCACGAGTTAACTCTATTAAGTTAAACATTAAACACAATATGCCTAAATAAATACAGTTCTGTTTTATAGCACAGAGGGATGCGTCATCATAGAGCCTTGCTGAGATTATTATGTGTGTGTTTTGTGAGTTGCTCCAGTCATACCCTCTGAGCTGGATTTGGAACCCAATCACAAAGTCACCTTGACCAGTCCCAGATTCCCTCTCTTGCTGTCTGCAATCCAGCCTAATTCCTCCACTGAGATGGTTTTCATCCAGCCCACAGCAAAACCACATGAGGAAGAACTTACTGTCCACTGACAGCAGTTCGTAGGGAGAATGTTGAAACAATAGGGCTGATACAGGATAAACTGTTTGATAAATACATTTAAAAAGTAAAGAAGTATGGTTAATGTTGGGGTATGCATTTGAATATATTTACACTTTTTTTTTTTTTTGGAAGGGACAACTCACCCCAAAATGATAATTATGCATTTTATTCTCTTTTATTTAATTCTATCTCATTCTGAATGAGTGTGACACTCATTTAGTGGAAAAAAAAATCATATAATAATAATAATAATCTCTGTCTTTTCTGAACTTTTTCAGTGTCTTTTCTAACTTTGCATTCAGTGAAAGTCAAACCACATTTATTTATATAGAGCTTTATATAATACAAACTTTCAAAGCAGCTTCACATTAATAATCAGGAAAATAACAGTGTTAAAATTCATCAAAACATAAAATTTCAGCTGTAAAGCAGCTCTATAAGACAAAAGTATCATTATCACGGGAAGTCGTGGCCTAATGGTTAGAGAGTCGGACTCGTAACCCAAAGGTTGTGGGTTCGAGTCTCGTACCGGCAGGGATTGTAGGTGGGGGGAGTGAATGTACAGCGCTCTCTCCCACCTTCAATACCACGACTGAGGTGCCCTTGAGCAAGGCACTGAACCCCCAACTGCTCCCCGGGCGCCGCAGCAAAAATGGCTGCCCACTGCTCCGGGTGTGTGTTCACAGTGTGTGTGTGTTCACTGCTGTGTGTGTGCACTTTGGATGGGTTAAATGCAGAGCACTAATTCCAAGTATGGGTCACCATACTTGGCCACTGTCATGGGGATGACGAGACGTGAGACGTGTGGATCCATCTGCAGGCTTTATTAAAGAGACGTGGTAAACAGGCAGGGTCAAACAATGGCAAACAGGTATATGGCGGGCAAAACACAAGAATAGTCCCAGGGCTAGCGTAGGTCACCGATCGGCAGACAGAATCACAGGGGCGAGACGAGAGGGAAAAATCCAGGAATACAGGCAAAGATCAGAAACCGCGGAAACAGGCAAGGCAAGGCAAAACAAGGAAAACACAGAGACTCGGAATGGGACTCGGAAAGGGGTACGGGCTAAACAATACTCAGCAGAGAAAGGTGGTTAGAGTGGGTGTTATATAGTGAGTGAGGTGATTAGAAACAGCTGTGTGCAATGAGTGCAATCAGTGCAGTGTGCAAATCGTGCAAAGAATGATGGGATATGTAGTCCGGGGTGCTATGCAACAGTTTGTGTTGTGCGAGAGTCAATGTAATGGAAAGGGTGACCTCTGGTGGTGAATAAACGGAAGTCCATGGACCGAATTCGTGACAGCCACATGTCACGTCACTTTTTTTTTTTTTTATTTAGCTCAATTTAGTTCAAGTTTTGTTCTCATCTGACAGTGTAAGTGTTAAATCGATAATATTGCATATTTATTGTCTTTTAAACCAATGTTGTTTTAGTTCAGTTCAATAACAGTGTTAGCTGCAAAGTTCAACAATTATGAAGCAAATTCTATTCAGCTGTACAACAGCTCTACAGAAGACACTAGTGTCATTATCCAGTTCAATTCGGTTTATTCTCATCCAATAATATCACTGATTATTAATTGTCTTTTAAACACCAATGTCAGTGAAAGTCAATAGGGTTCAATATTGCTTCTTATTTTGGTACTGCAGAAGCAAGTCAGGTTTGAAATGGCAAGTGAATGATCATTTTTGAGTGCACTACCTCATTTTAATCAATCGAAGTTCAATAATTAGCTTCGGCACACCTTCAGTTGTGAAGTGCGTGAGAGACTGTGTGTGTTTGTCTGATCATGTGTGCATTTGTTTCAATCATTACGGACTATAAACCCAAAGATGGCGCAATGTCTGGGCTCAGCGCTGTCCCTGTGTCCAGTGAAGCAATCTATGGAGATTTATGTTTACAGCACACACCTGTCACGGAGAAACGCGATAAACCTGTGTGCACACACACAATGTTTCTTATTCCTGTCTTTTACAGGATGTTTCTTGCACCGCAAGTCCCTTGTTTGTGAGACCGCCGTGTGCACTCAATAAGTCACTGCAAACAGTCACCCGTAAATCCAAGATAGTGTTGGACACAGCAACAGTCTCCACTGAAATGTGTTTCTTGTTAAGGAAAATGTTATTAAGGGATGCTTTTAAAAGGTTTCAGGCCGTTCACCTCATGTTTCAAAGGAATAAACATTAAACAAGGGCGACATCTGTTTTTATACCAACAGATGCGATTTAACCAACTTCAGTCTAACAAGCAATGTGTTGACTGCATCAAACAATCGTTTTTTTATCTTTCTTCTGAAGTCCGCTTGAATTCTCTCACTCTCTTTCTCCCCGTCTGGCGCTATGCTAATTAACGTTACTGGGAACGCGAAATGCAAAAAGCAGACTGGGATTACTTAGATAAGAATCAACTAACACAAAGCGGCTAAAAGAAAGTCATTTAAATTCTAATAATGCGAAACTGTTAGAACATTCTCACTGATGCATTGCAACAATTTTGCTCTCTACAGTCTTCATAAATCCTATTTATTCTTTTATGGTGCACAAGCTAAGACTCTCTGAAACAGAGCTGCCTGTTGGGCTGGATGGGATTTTTTTGCTAGCATTTTTCTGGTCTCGGGGTGCAAGGAATTGATGAAATATTATATGGAATATTGCCACAGAAATAGCTGGCGTATAAAGTACCCTAGTGAAAAATAGATATGCTAAAATGTATTTGAAATACATTTATTTCATGCTAAGTATACTATAAATGCATTTACATTTTTATGTACTTAATAAAAATACCCTGCAATTGTACTTTCAGCTATATCGGAACAACTATTTTTCTACTTAATGCACTTTAATTGTGTGGAAGTAGTGCTGAAGTCCAACTAAAGATATACTGAAGTATATTTGATTGTGCTAAAGTGGAATTATTGCAAGTGTACTTACTTTAGGTACTCTTTAAATATCTTGCATTTAAAGACTGGTTTTATTCAAAGCTCATACAGTCCTCAACTAGTGACATTAAAACACATTTTAGGCTTAATATTAAGAAATGTACATTGTGCACAAGTAGTACTCCAAATAAAGTTTAATTATAATATTTATATCAGTGAGTCTAGAGCGATATGTCAGTTAATATGTTAATAAATTTGAACTATATTTAGTATGAAATATCCATATTTTGAATATATTACTTTTTTACTGGGGTATGTATTCTAAAAAAACTGCAGAGAAACCATAAAGAGACAACATCAAAACATAATATCTTTGCAAACTGCATTAATAGTCAAATCGTCCTGTCTTTCCTAATTAATTAATAATTAATTAGTCTATCTATTTTTGATAAATACATTCTATGCTTTTTGTATGCTATATCATGACCTACACATCCTCCCCTTTTTAGTCAGCTAGCATAAAAATGTTAACATTAAAACACACAACTCACAGGTACAGAAAGGCTAACTTCCTGCCAAATTGATTTCTATGCTTCATAAAAGGGAAATATTTCCACCTTATTAGACTGCTAACTATAATAGTTGCATGCAAAATGTGCACTGCTTGTGAAAGGGAATCTATGTCAGAAAGGAGGAACACGAGCCAACGGCGCGGCTCTCTTATGACTGCTTACTGAAGTGGAGCCGCCGTAACCTCTTAAAAACTTCAGAATGAATAAGAACAGAATGCAATTCACTCCATCGTGGATGATTTATAACAAGCACCAGCCTTTCTGCCACTGTCCACTTTGTTTTTAGCGCTGGTTGAAAACTCTCCCCTTGTTTCACCTAGCTAACGTTTCTCGTTCCACTAATGGTCTGAGTGGTGGCTTGACGTCCTCAGATGTCACATGGCATTTATGTGGTGCTCATTCACCTCGTGGACGTAAAGCAGCAGGACTATGAAGCCACAGGGAGAAAGCCTCTGCTAGGCTACATAAACCTGTCACAACCCTTTAACATCCCTGCTACCATCAAACTGAAATGAAACCGGTCTGTGTTAGAACTGGATATGCTAAAGTCTTGGTGAAGATGGTCAGGATGGAGATCAACAAAAATGTTAGCTAAAACTCAACCAAGAATAAAAAATTCAAAATTCAAAAGCAAAATTCTGAATTGAGAACCTGGCTTCCTTTCAAATTCATGAGTGTGTATTTGAATTGAATTGGCCTCATCATGCAGGAAGTCCAATTAGAATTACAGGAAGAGGAAGATGAGATGACTAATCTATGTCAGTTAAAAAAAATCTAGTTTTAGTTAATTCTACTTCCTTACAGGTGAATTTGACTTGACATTCCGCATCCTGTTTGCTACCTCAGTTCAAATTCTGGAATTTAAAAAGCATTCTCAAATTAATTCTGAATGGTGCACAACCCTGCTCTCTTTTCTACTTGCCATGCATATCATTGCCCCTAGACTGCAGAAGGAGGGCTGTCTAACACACTCTGGAGTTGATGATCCAGGGGTGGAGAGGCCCCTCTTTTGGCCCCTGTCTCACCCCAGTGCCCTCTTCTCCACTCCCCAGTAAACTGACATCTGCCGGATGAGTCTGCACAGCTGTGGCGGAGCAGGTCACCAACCGGGTCAAAGGTCTGGTCTCGTTCTGGCCTGGGAGGAATCTCTATACAGAAACCTGCCGACATACCCGAAGCCAAACCAGTGGGAACTTCTGTGAAACACCCCTAATGGTAACTGCATGAAAAAGACCTGCATTCTTGCTATGAAACAGCATGTCATATTTTATTAGAACACTCGAAAAAGTCTCTGCCAAAGCAGCTGCCATAAATTGGCATGTATGAGCCCTGGAATGTCTTGTTGGGTCTTGTGCCAAACTCAGAGACCTTGTTGAATTAGTGTTTTTGGGTGGGTTAAACGCATTATCAAGTACCCTTTAATGTCAGTCCAATGGGAGGTCAAAGTGTGAGATACGATGAACTGCACTTTTATGAGTAAATCTATGTAAGTACTATACCAGGCTGACTCCTTTAACAGTTAAAAAAGTAAATGGCAAAACCACACATGAAATCCCCGTTTGGAGGAGGGGGGTGGCTGCCTTGGGGAGGGGAAGAACTTTCACAATAGACTCTACAGAGAAATGCCACAATCCCCCCTTAACACTAGACCGAGCAGAGAACAACATTGAAGACCCATGGCCAATATTTACTGTGCTTAACCAGAGTCACTTTCTTAGGGTGACCTTTTTGAAAGATTCAGTTTGAGTTGACTTTTGGAGACTTTCAAAGTGTTCCAGAATTAGATTATGAGAAAAACTGCATTAACAAATTATATCCATGACTCAAATACCTCAGCTTTTCACATGATATCTCTTTAACCCTATTATGCGAGAAGGGGGAGATGTGTCCTTTTGGTTATTCGGCCTTGTTCAAGGTGTTCTTTGGGTCCTATCTCTTGTCATTTGCATCAGTTACGATAAATACGCCAAGTACCCCCGGGTGATTCTTGCGGGCCAAGAAATGCACAATTGACCTACAAATGTGGCTCATCGGTTGCCATAACATGCTGGAACAGAAGACACTTGTGTTTGACAAGCATGTTGTTTTTCATTGACCAATTAGAGGTGTTTTTTCACACCCTTGATCTTATGTTCATTATTATCACAGCTAATATGGATGGTAGAGTTCTAGTTGTTTAACTCGGCGCTTTCCCTTTCTTTCCCTTTCGAAATCCCCAAGACACTTCTATCTTTCGTGACGCTGTTTAAGTAATAATGAATGTTTTTACATACACCAGAGCTTACCAGACATAAACCTACAATCAATGCAAATCTGTCCCCTAAATACATCATGTGTGAAATATTGTGAGAAAACAAGCGTAGCATAAATCTCTCAAAATTCTCCCAAGAGTGTGGAAGCAACCATTTAGACACATACATCTTCTTCCTTGAATGCTCAGAGACAGACAAAGACATATGTTAAATCAGTTGCCCTGCTGATGAGTATGTTCCGGTAAGGAACCTAAGCATAGGTACGGAGCGGGATCTACGGAGGGCGAAGTGAGGATGAGAGTTTGGAGAAACCTAGACCCCCTACCCCCACTTTGCCGAGTCTTTTACAAGTGCTTGATTGATTAATGTTGTTGTCAGGGAACAGAGTCCCCAGAGAGAACCAGAGGGATCCTTTCTGATATGTAGAGGGATTTACAAGTAGCGGCCAGCTTTCAAGTGCTGGGAAGCGATCGCCGGCCAAGAGAAGAGATGAGAAATCCATCAGGAATGCATTTTGTCTGTTCTTCTTTCTTCCCTTCTCTTTTCCCCCCATCCCTCTTTTTGTCTCCCACTAGCTCAGAGTGCAGCTGCTGCTATAATTCTACTGTATTTGCTTTGCGATGTTACATAAAACTACAGGGTTCACAAACTGTCAGGAAGCGTCCCGAAGACTCGGGTGAAAGCAATAGGGCAGGGCTCCAACTGTCATCTGACCAAGAGTGATGTACTCCCGGAGGGGAGGGGAGGTCAAACAATTAGTCTCCGCTGAATAAATAAATATAACAAACACCAGCAATAAACTGAGGCATCTAGATGACAAGAGAAGAAACAACTCCAACAGGAGGTCTAAAAGCCAATCAGATACATTCAAGGTCAATTGCAATTGTGAAACCATGCAGGGAAAGTACAAGTATCTGTGCGAGTGAGCGTATCCCACCTGTACACGAGCCTCGGTCAGTTTGGTCCTCTGTGCAAGCTCCTCTCTAGTGTAGATGTCGGGATAGTGCGTCCTCTCAAAGGCCTTCTCGAGCTCCTCCAGCTGCTCTGCTGTGAAGGTGGTACGGCTGCGTCTCTGTTTCCTTTTCAGGGGCAGGTCTGGCTCTGACTCCACTTCCGAGCCATCATCTGTACGGTTACCTGCGTACACTAGTGTAGATGTCGGGGTAGTGCGTCCTCTCAAAGGCCTTCTCGAGCTCCTCCAGCTGCTCTGCTGTGAAGGTGGTACGGCTGCGTCTCTGTTTCCTTTTCAGGGGCAGGTCTGGCTCTGACTCCACTTCCGAGCCATCATCTGTACGGTTACCTGCGTACACAGTTTGGAAATAAGTCGTTGAGAGGCTTTGAACATCGGCACCAAGTCTCGGATGCTTTACAAAATGGCAAGTTATTTTAAAAAATTGAATATGTACAGCAACTGAAAATTTCAGCTGTCGCCAGTACGATGGCACACTGCGAATTTGTCAACGGAAAATGATCCTGAAAGCCGAGACCAGCTATCATGGCAATATTAATGCTTCCGTTATCTCAATATGTCAATGGAGCCTTAGATACCTTTTTATTGGGTCTTATTCATATGTGAGAAGTCTTCAGACACATAATCCTGCCACTGAGCCCTGGAGAGGCCTGGGGGACGTAACTGTGAGGGTTAGGGTAATCTACACCAGACACCTTGCTCTAGCACGTCCGCCTTATTCTCTCTGTAGCGGCCTGGGGCTAGCTCCTAAGAGCAAGTGTTTGAAATAAGAATGTATGAGACTTCTGGGCCATTGAATCCCTCTCTTTGTGTTTCAAGCTAGTGTTCGAAATATATTACAACATATTTTACATTACTTTTTTTCAGGCACTCAGTCAAAGACAAGTGCAGATCGCAGTTGGCAGTTTGCATTTTAGCCAGAGGAGTATTTCCCCGGCACAAAGACGAACACTGCTACGACCGAGCCAAGAGGAGCGTTTGTAAGCACAGATATGGAGTGCGTTAAGATATATTACTGAAATACATTACCATGATAATTGATTCTAAAATTGCATCATACTTTATTTGTGAGCCACCTCTGTATATCTATTCATGGCAGCAGAAAGCTCGTGAAAGGTCCTGTCACAAAAATCACACTTTTACATTTGCTTTCTTAAAACGCATGAGTGCTAACAAGCAGTGTAGCTTGAGTCTTGCTCCAGGCCCTTTGGTCTTGCATCATCCATGGGGGAAAGACAGAAAGAAGGGCTCTGAGCTCCTGCCCCCGCAATGCCACAGCTGCCACGGTGGAGACAAATCTCCTTTGAGCCATCGTGCGCGGTCTCTGCCCACTGCTGATCAGCAGGTTCCTGCACCCTGGACCACTTCACACAAGTTTTCCAGCATCTCCGTTTTCTTCTGCCAGACCGGAGCCTGATCGTCTCTCTCAAACCCCCATCTGCCAGGTCTCTTCTACGGCTGATAGGCTGCCAGGAAAAGAGGTTACAAAAAGGCCTGTGGGAGTGTGCTAGTGTGTGTATATTAGTATGTGCATAGGCGTGCGAGTATGTCCGTGCGTATCGGCGAATGCATTCTTCTTGGTGCATGTGCGAGAATTGGGTGCACTTGAAACTGACAATGGGGGGAAAACAATCCCCCAGCGTAATGCAACTGCCAACAACAAAAAGAACCAAACTGCGGGTCTGCAAGTGTGTTTGTGCATGCTTGCGTATCCATACATGCCTTCTTCAGTTTGCATGTCAATTTTCATGCACCAAATAAATGCAGAAATGAAATTGCAGATTATATATAAAGAACCCAACTCTGGGCGATTAAGTATCTTGGGTATCAACAAATGCATTCTTCTTGGTGCATGTGGAAGTGAGTAGAAAAAGACAAAGAAGAAAAACACCTATATATTGTTTTTAAACCAGGTACCTGCATACTGTATGTATAAAAGACAAAGCAAGCTATGGTCTTGTGTATTTACACATACATTCTTCTAGGTGTGTGTCAATTTTGGTGGCATCAAAAGTGCCAGTTATCAATAAAAAGAACCAAAATCTGGCAGTGCAAGTATGTTAGTGCATACTTGCATATCAGCAAATGCATTCTTCTTGTTGCATGTGGAAGTACATGGAAATTACAGAACAGACTAGGGTCTTATTTATTCACACATGCAACATTCTCTTGGTGCACGTGCAAGTATTTGGTGCAACTACATCAACAATAGAAGAAAAACTCACTTCCGCAATGCAACCGCTTCAAGACGCACCAAACTGCTGCAGTCTCCAGACCAGCTCTGGAGTTTAATTAAACATGGAATTAACGGATTATATGGAGACTATCATTACAGACCACTCGAGCAGTCTTCACAGAATGTCTTTTTGTCTCCCCAAGCTCTGGCTCAATGATTCTCAATGGATTACATGCGACCGCAGGACATGAGTCCGCATTCATTAAATCAATTCCTCCATCTTCCCCCTTTTAATAAAGATAGATTTTTTTACAACACTGCCTGGCACTCCAGCACACGAACAAAATCTTGAATATACAAAGTTGAATATGTACATATCCTGGATATCCCTTTGTTGGTTTTCATGAGGATGCGCCAGAGCGATTTGTTGCTAACACACCATGACAACACTTGAGACTCGTGCAGTGGTCTACGGATCACTTTCCAAAGTCACCTCGGCATCCTGAGGGGGAGGGAAAGACGTGACGCTGTGATTTTTGTTTCATTGCACAGTTTCGCCACATGATTCATGAGGCAAGATTCTGTCAGCGTATCCTGCCCTTGTGTCTCTTTGTTTTTTTCTGTCCATACGTTTGATGCATCAAAGCCTTTTCACTTATAATTACAAATGTACTGTAACCATATCAAATCCCACCGCACGTCTTTTGTATTGAAATATTTTACAAAACACACGTAATCAGTGGTCAAACTCAGAAACAAAACTCAGGTTGTTGTCGTTTCACAAGCTCTAGCTCAGCTGTCTTGCAAGCCCAAGACTGAAGGTCAACAGGCCCCCTGACAACAGCAAAGGATTATGGTAATGAAACAGATGCTGGCAGAGATAGAGCAGTGAGAGGGGCATGATACAGGCCTCATCTCTGTCCCAAAGATTTCCACTGATTGGGATGCTAGCTTCTATCAAGAGAACAGAAGCCCCAAATGGGTTCAGATAGGTTATGGCAGACATGTAATATGCTACAAACATATGTGTTATGCTAATGTGCTGTTTCTCCGCTGCTAATGTGACCGTGGAGAAGCTGACTAAAAGGCTAAAACTATACAAAACTTTAAAATCTTGTGTAGCTATTATAACTAAATTTCCATTCGCTCTCATTCCTTGTTTAAAAAAGCACTACATTTAACCACAGTAATCAGGGGACCAAAAAAAGCAGCAGTTAATTTGCACTTTAAACACAGCTAAGCTCAAGAAGATGTGAGGTCAATTCACAAGAACTCTTCCCTGTTTTAAAACAATAAGGTACATCCTGACTAATCCGCCTCACAATAACCAAGCTGTAATTCTATTTGAGGGTTCTGGGGATATTGATAAAGTCCTCTGCTCACTTATCAGCCAATTAAAGCCTAATTATGTTCCATTCATTCTGTGCTACAGCCTGAATGTTTTTCCTCCAGGGCCCAATGTGATCTTTAACAAAATGCTGACTTTGTGCCGAGTATTTCATTTGCAACAAAATCAGGTGCGTACAGAAGGCTCTGACAAATTTTAGATCGCATTTCATTTAAAAACCAAACCCGTATGAAGCAGAAGGCTAGAAGCAGATAAACCGTTACGAGTAGGTTCTCTGCTTCTTGGCTACATGAATCACTAAAGCCAAATCTCATCCATTTAGGGCCCATTATCTGCAACAGTTAAGCCAACATACACATTTAGCTCAATTTAGCAGTCGTTTACGTTGGCTTTAAGGGATAGTTCACCGCAAAATGAAGATTCTGTCACAATTTACGCATCCTCATGATGCTCCAAACTTGTATGACTTTCTTTCTTCTGTGAAACGCAGATATTTTAAAGAACGTTGAGTTCCAAACAACATTAGACCCCACTGACCTTCACTGTATGGACAAATCTATATTTTAAAAATATCCTCTTTTGTGTTTGAAATGTGACCATATTACAAAATTCCTTGCTAATTAACAGGTGAATTAAAGACAGTTCTGAAATGACCTTGTGTATTAATATGTCCTTTTTTCAGCAGCTTGCATGCCACTGAAGAACCATTTTGGGTTCCTCAAAGAAAACTTCAGTGAAAAGTTCTTAAAAGAACATTTTAAAAATAAGAGTTTACACTGTAAACAACATTCTGTCTAATTGAAAGGTTCTATTGATGTTAATGGTTCTTAATAGAACCATCAACTCCAATAAAGAACTTTTATTTTTCTTTTAACATTAATGTTAACAGCACAGTAATTTATGATGTCTCTTTTCTTCTCTAAGGGCTTTAATCAAAGTATGTTGTCATTTGTGAAAATAAAAAAATATATAAACTTATTTGGTCTGCTTAAAAAGAGAGATGACACTAACAAAAAAGTACCACGTTACTTTAGTCATTTAGTAGCATGGACTGATACCATCACTGTACCATGCTATACACCACAGCTTTTGTCTGTAGAACACATTCAAGAAACGGTGAATAACTGCTTAAAATCCCAGCTAAAAACTGTCTCTTTGTCCGACTGATCTATCTTTATCATTTTAAATATATCACCCAACAGCATCAAAAGTGATTTGCACAGCTCGTCTGAAAACAGAGTTTCGATATATCATTACCAAACCTAAAAGGATGTCAAAGATCCTTATAAAAAAAAAAAAGACAATTGAAAAGCACGAATCAAAGTGCAGCTTTTGACATCATCAGAATCCCAGGAATTATTCAGGGATGGCGGATAATAAAAAGCCTCCATGACACGGTGAGAAGGAGGTAGAGGCGTCTCCAACCTCATCTGCTAAGATTGCCTTTGAATCAGTATTAGCTCAACATTACGGCAAAATTCAATGCAGCCTTTTTTTTAAATACCGTAACCAATGTCCTCAATATCAGCTGTACCTTGCAAACTACCCAAGACAGAGTGACAAAAACAGACAGGGCTTTTTGCAGTGCGGCATTAGCTCATAATGGCTCATTTTGAAAAGCATATTAGTTCCAGCATAATTACAATCAAGTCTTACGCTTGCTATTTTACAGGCATTCAATAGGACCAGCCTCAGAGCTGCAAATGACACTAGTTGAGTGTAACTGACAACACATCTTTTTTTTTTTTTCCTTCGGCATCTTCCTAAACCCATTCCCACAGGACAAAAATAACAGCATCCCTGCTT